TTTTTTTTTTTATTTTAAAAAGGAAGGGGGGAAAAAAAAGGCAAAAAGGGAAATAAATGGTGACAGTGCATTGAATATTTGCACTTGCTCTGTGCCTGGTGAAGCAACGATTGCTTGCTGATTTTCTTTAGCATCCTCTTATACCCACATAGTAATAAAATGAAGATTAGGAGCTTAATATTGTGTTGGCTCATGTTTCTCTCTTGAAGGTGGGAAGAAGAACGCTACCCTGAAGGCATTAAATGGAAGTTCCTAGAGCACAAAGGTCCCATATTTGCTCCACCATATGAACCTCTGCCTGAAAATGTCAAGTTTTATTATGATGGTGAGTTCATCTGTGTTTCCACTTGCTGGGAGGAGAAAGAAACATTCTCAGGGTATTGTGGCATTCTTCTGGGGACCAAGGAGATGAGGACGTGGGTTTGTTTCAGTGGTTGGCTTAGAAGTTCTTTAAAGGCTGAGAGAAGGAGGGATCTGTGGAAGTAAAGGAACAACCTGAATTCTGCTAACTGAGCTGACAGGGAGGTGAGCTTGCCCTCCCTCTGCTGTGGTGGTAAATCAGTTTACTGTAAGAGTATGAGGGTGTCTTACACCTGGAGTAGTGGAGTGTAACCAGTGGAGTACATAATTGTAGCTACCTCATCACTGGTCACCTTTAGAGTTTGCTCCATTTTCTTTAACCTTTTGAATTGCAACTTCTATCATCTGTGATGAAAGCCATCATCATTTGGTGGCATGAGCAGAATAAAAGACAATTCAATTTTGATATAGATGATGAGGTTCTTGGAGGAATGCCTGGGGTGACCCTGGCCCCAAGGACACAGCCTGCTGGTGTAAGTCATGGTCCCAGTCACTAACCTCTGTGTGGTAGGACTATTTGGTGGGGAATTCTAATATTCTGGGCTGAGTGGTTGTTAGAGGCTCATGTGGAAAGGATTATATGATGTGATGCCTGCTGGAGACTGGACTTGATGACCCGTGTGTTTCCTTTTAGTCCTGTGATCATGTTAAATGAAGGATCAAATTAACCCAGGATTGAATTAAGTGGGAGGCATTGAATGGATGAAAAAGTAATTTTTGGTGAAGGGGAGATCTGGGCATGGAGCTCTCCAGGAGCAACGTGCTGCTTGCATGTGACATGACCCAGTGTTTCTAAATGCTGTGAAATGGGTGGTGTTCATCTTCAGCAGTAATGTAGAGCCATAAACACATTGCATCCTAGTAAAGCCTGTCTCCAGTGATCAGGGATGTCTGCAGACTTCTTTCTTAGGGTTTGATAAGAGCTTGAATCAAAGTTTGATGTTTTTTTTTCCTCTGTTGAAGAATGTGCTATCTCTCCTGCTGTCTAGAGGAGGGGAGGAGCAGGTAGCACTGTGCTGTCCCTTGGTGCAGGCAGCCATAAGCTCCTCTTCTGGCTAGTTATCTCCTTATATCTAGGAGATGTAGGGAATTTTGAACCTCTCTCCCAGCAGTAAGTCATCAAGAAGCTCAACAATTATGGGGTGACAGTGAGGTCTGGCAAATAGAGCAATCACCTAAGCCTTCCTTAAGAAACCAGACAAAAAATCAGCTGTCTGAGGTACCCAGGAGCTGCTGAGAGCTGCTGTCTGTGCTCACAAGGTGTTGTCTGATCTGGAGATGAGCCTGGGAGGGCTTGTAGAGCCCAGGAATGGTCTGTGGCTGGCCAGCCAGCTGCAGGCTTGCCCTCACTGGAGGAATCTGCCCGTGTCCATCCTGTATAACCACTGCCCAAGCTGTTGGTGGTGCCCACAGCCCAGGCTTGGTGAAGGAGCTGGAAACACCAAAGCCATCTTTAGGGCTTGGCTAAGAGCAACAGTGGGTTAACAGCCTGCTGCTCATCCCCCAGAGGTGGCTTGAACGGGTGTTTTCCTGTTGGCGGGGCAGGGGAAGAGTGTAGATGGTGGCAGCTGCCTCTCAGTCATGGCCACAGGGGGTTCTCTGCTTGTTTTATCCCCTGCTTGCTCTCTGGTTTTCAGTTTTTAAGTCTGGTAACTGGTGTTTATGCCTCTAGAAGAAGTCTCCATTTTCTTTAAACGTCCAGCCCTGCCACTGAGAGCCTTTCCAAACCTCTGTAAAAAAAGAGGAAATGGAGTCCAGTGAAGTCTAAAGTGATTAGATAAAGAGCCTTTGGCCATTTGGGGAAAATATCAGTCATTTTAACCCCATAACATGTTAGTAACTCAATAGCCTCTCTCAGGCTAGACCTGTAGCCTGGAAAAACCGTTTCCCTTGCTCTCTGTCCCTTCCCCCATTTCCTGTCATAAGCAAACAAATGCTGTATTTTAGGTTGCAGCTTAAAAATTGGCAGTTGCTGTTGGTTTAATTTAATTGCAGAATATCCTCAGATCATTGGGGGAGGACCTTTTGCTGAGTCCCCTTTTCTGAGGGTTTACAGATCTTAAAGGCTTTCTAGCTGACTCCCGTGCTTTAATTCTGGAGATGATGCAACTTTGGAAAAGACATAGTAAATCAGATGTGTGGTGGTTTTTTTCCCAGAGTCCAGAATCAACAGCAGTGTTTCTGGTCTTCCCTTTTGTGCAGTGAAATGGTTGTTAACAAGTCCCCAGGTGTTGACTGTCTGCCAGCCCGTTGTGTCTTGAACTATTTCTTGCCACTAGCTGGAGATGTGAGCTGCATGCAGACTCCCTGCCAGGCATCCCTGGCACCTCCCGTGGCATCAGGAGTGCAATCTGGACCCAGCAGCCCCTCCACAGGTGGTGAATCCACAGCTCCAGTGTTGCAGCAGCCTCTTCTCCCTGGCCTTTTAAAGCCTTCCCTTGCAGCAGTTTCACTTGGTACTGCAGCCTTGCAGATGAGCTGCAGTGGGACCTCTCCATTCCCTGAAAGCTCAGTCCCTCTCAAAAATGACCAGGTTTTGAGCCCCCTTCAGGGACACAGGGGTGCATTCCCACAGCAAAGGGAAGGATGAGCAGCATCCTCACACGTCTGCCTGCAGTGAAGTCAAATACCTGGCACTGCTTCCCAGCCTGTTTGTGGTGTGTCCAGAGGAAGGGCTTTTCCTGGCTAGAAATAGCTAGAGGCTGGCAGGGGTGTTCCAAAGCAGAGTCCTCTGTGGGCAGAGGGACACAGAGGCTGTGTTTCCATATGTCCCAGTGCTGGAATATGAAAAGCAATCAAGTCCTTTGCCTCTTCCACTTCAAACAGCAAGATCTGCCCGGGAGCACACACAGCACTGGGGTGTCTCAGCAGAGGGTTTCCTGCAGGAGGCCTTTTCCCCTTCCTGCCCTGTGTCTCTCAGACCTGTCTCCCATCACGTTGATGTTGCTCTTTTTAATGTTTAGATTCCAGAGGAAACTTTTCCCAAAATGTTTATGATGAAAGGCAGGCAGTTGTGCTCCTCCATTTCCTTTGGCCATCCAATTTGCTGTACTACGAAATGTTTTTAAAACAAATCCTCTGTGATAAAAATACAGTGTCCTTTAAGGTAGCTGCTGTGGCCTCCTCCTGGCTTCAAATCCTGTTTAGCACTTGCTTTAAAAAGAAAACCTTTCTTTGTAGGTAAAGTCATGAAGCTGAGTACCAAAGCAGAAGAAGTTGCCACATTCTTTGCAAAAATGCTTGATCACGAGTACACTACAAAGGAGATCTTCAGGAAAAACTTCTTCAAGGACTGGAGGAAGGTATGCACCTAGTCCTGGGCTGCAGTGACTCCAGGCACAGCCAGTGTCTCCTCAGCACTGGGAGGTGAAAAGGGGCTTGTTCCACACACAGGGAAGTTAGTGTGAGGGGACAAAAAGCTGCCTCACATCATAGCTGGGAAACTTGCAGTTTATCCTCTATTTTCACCAGGAAGGACCCTGGTATAAATACCTCTGCAAACCAACAAAGGCAGACTTCTCCCAGCCAAATCTCCCTGTCACAGCATGATGGGGTGTAGCTCATCTCCTTTATATTAGAAGGAAACCCCTTCCAAAGAGCTAAAACTCACTTTACCTCAGTCATCTTATCAGCTGTAAGATCAAACCAATAGACCAGTTGATGCCATTTTCCTGGGTGGGAGAGCTCTGGGGGGTGGCACAGCATTGCTGGTGCCCACAGAGACTGGGCCACTGGAAGGCCAGTGCTCCCTGCACCCTCTGCATGTCCCTTCCTCTGACCTTGGCTGGAGTGAGCATGTGCCAGAGTTTGGGGGTTCTTGGGGGTGTGCTGGCAGAACCTGTCTGTTGTTGCTGCTTCAGCTGCCCGGGGTGGGGTAAAGCAACACTGTGCCTGAAAACTTATACATATGAAAACTTAAAGTGCTGTTTTCCTTCTGCAAGGAAATGACCTCTGAAGAGAAGAGCACTATCACCAACCTCAGCAAGTGTGACTTCACCCACATGAGCCAGTATTTCAAAGCTCAGACGGAAGCTAGGAAACAGATGTCCAAGGAGGAGAAACAGGTACCAGAGGGAATTCCAGGAGACTTCTTGAGTTTAGCTGCCTTGTAAACATCTCTGTGTAATCATTCCTCTGCCTGCCTTGCCATTTATGAGTCAGTGTTGTCTAGTTTTCAAATTATTACCTTCATGTTTACTGTAGGAACCTTTACTGTGCAGGTCATGTAGGGCAGAGCACTGTGTTTACAGCTGAATCTTCATCCTGACTCAAAATTATATTGATAGGGCCAAAATGCCTGGTCCTGTGTAAGTAAATGAAGAGAATCAGAGGTGCTGCCTCCATGGGAGCCTTGATCCCTGGCCAGTAATGGCCAGTGGATACTCACTTACAGACAGATTTTAATTTTAGAAGCTCTTAGGGTTTGGAGGGCAAAATTTGGGATGATAGAAGGGATGCAGCAAACACATTAGTGAATAAAGTGAGAGAACAAATCTTAAACATCAAGTAATGCAGTTTTCTGTATTAAAAAAAACCTTTATTTTCCAGTAGCATGGCTACAGTGGCTTGTGGGGAGAGAATTAAAGAGTTTTTAGATGACTGAGACTTACTGCAGTGGAAACTGGAAATTTGCCCCACGTTTTCAGTGGATCTTTTGCAACACTATGGTAGTTATCCTCTGAGTGAGGGGCCTGGTAGCTTGGACATCTGGCCTTGGGCTCAGAGGGGTCCCACCAAAGCAGAGAGCCCATGTCTTACTGCTCTTGCCATCTGATAAACCCCTGGGTGAGGCCTTCTCAGTTCCCACCTGTGGTAGCTATTCCAGTGGAGCAGGAGTGGCTTTTTTGGTTAGTTTCTTAGCTGGCACACCAGTGCTGCCTGTGGGACAAATGCCTTATTTTGAGCTGCAATGTTTTTATTTTTCCTCCTCTGTAATTAGAGTTGAAGAGCAGAAGTATGCAGTGACATCTCAGCACATTTTTACTTAGGAGGCTGTGTTCTGCTTAGGAGACCATTTGCTGACACAGGCTTGACATGTGGCAGACTGGAGACATTCCTCTGCCTACTTTCTGACACTGGGTTCAAACACAGAAATCTTAGTTTTTATATATATAAACAACAAGATCTCAAGTCAAAAGTCAAAGTGGATGTCACATGCTGAATAGAGACTGTGAAGGAGCAGTGCTGTGCTGGGGCTGCCCTTAGAGCTGGGATAGGTGGGTACAGGTAGAGGACTATTGTGGCAAGCTGTCTTCACCAGCCCCAATCTGGTTCCCTCAAGTACAGGTTTTAAAAGAGTTTTCACACATTCTTTCCTTTTTTTTCCCCCCACTTTGTGCTGCTTGCATTCTATGAATGATTTGCTGGGCAGTGCTGCTCTGTGTGTCAGTACAGCACTGGGCACGATGAGGGTCTGGGTTTGAGCTGGGTCTTCAGCATTGCTGTGAAACAAATATGAAAAGATTTTGGGCTTATATACGTTAAAAAAATGGCATAATGAAAAGGCTTGGTCTGTGTTGGGCTGAGTGCATCATGTCATCCTTGCTTTTGGCTTTTTCCAGAAAATCAAGGAGGAGAACGAGCGGCTATTGAAGGAGTATGGTTACTGTGTGATGGACAACCACAAGGAGAGGATTGCCAACTTTAAGATTGAACCTCCAGGTCTCTTCCGAGGTCGTGGGAACCATCCCAAAATGGGCATGTTGAAGAGAAGGATCATGCCAGAAGACATCATCATTAACTGCAGCAAGTGAGCACTGGATGCCTCCCACCCTGGCGTTGCTTTCTGGATAGGATAGCTGCTTTTTCAGAGTCTATCTAGGCTGATGTTCAAGAGTATAGAGATATATAGTTATGTTACATTGCCTCAGTTTCCTTCCCTGTGCTTTCTTGGTGGGATGGTATTCATGACTTGGTCTGTTTTAATGCTGTGGATGTCAAATAGTTCTTATTTGTTGTCTCATAATTCTCTGCAGGGATTCCAAGATTCCTGCCCCTCCACCAGGACACAAATGGAAGGAGGTCCGGCATGATAACAAGGTGACCTGGCTGGTGTCATGGACTGAGAACATCCAAGGCTCTATCAAATACATCATGTTGAACCCTAGCTCAAGAATTAAGGTAAAGATCTAGTTAAAATAATCTTACTGGTCGTGTTCAAGAAACTAACGTAGCTGTTGGCTAGGAGAGAGATAGGAAGGAAGGTTCTTTTACTATTTCATCCTACACTGGTTGAAAACCATGAAAGTTTCTGTGCTTCTGTTTCCTCTTGAAAAGAAAGGATACAATTACTGCCTGGGAGAGCAGGTGACATCTGGAAAATGTCTTTTGAAAAGCACCATTGTGTCATTCCTAGTAGGAATCCTTTACCCTGTGTAAACCTAAAAGGGAGCACTTTATCCATGCCTGCTCCTGGTGTGTGTTTTACCTACTTGTGGCCCTACTGATGATGTGGTGAAGTTCTAACCATGGGTTGCTAATTAGTCAATTGTAAAACTCAAAACGTGGCCAGGCTGCTGGCTGAGAAGGCTGATAAGGAGCTCAGGACTGAAGGGCCATGAACCCTGCTGTGGGAACAAATAACCACTCAACAGATCAATTCCCTCCAAGCAACAATAAACCTGCTCAAAGATAAGCAGCCTTCAGCTTCAGGGACAGGATGTAAGTTCTTCTCATGAAGTCTTTTTTCTTTTTTTTAATGAGATTTCTTTTTCTGGATTGGAAGCAAGGGGTTTGTCCTACAAGTATAGGGAGAAATCACAGTTCCTTGTGAATTCATGCCCTCTTTTTGCCATGCCTTGAATGTGTAATAATGATGAAGAACTGTTGATGTTGCTCTTCACGCTTTATGGCCGTTTAACTACGCAGCTGAAGCAACATAAGTGTCATCTAAATAAAGCAGAGGAAACCATTTTATACATTGAGAGGCGTGGAAGACATAACATCTTTTGTGCCTTTATAGTTGCTTCTGTGGAAGCATTTGCTGTCATGGAAATCTGAATTACCTCCAGCTGCACGGAGCGTAGTTCGAGGCTGAGCCGTTCAGCAGCCAAATCTCAGAGCTTCTGTCCAGCCACACCGTTTGCCTCACACAGACCTGCAAAGCCTCAAGCTGCAGGTTGGGGCAGATCCTCTGCCTGCTCCCTGAGGCTGACTGTCCCAACGTTCTCTGCAGGGGGAGAAGGACTGGCAGAAGTACGAGACGGCGCGGCGGTTGAAGAAGTGCGTGGACAAAATCCGGAATCAGTATCGGGAAGACTGGAAATCCAAAGAGATGAAGGTCAGGCAGAGAGCAGTGGCACTCTACTTCATTGACAAGGTAAAGCTCAGCCCTCGGCCCCCTCTTCTTGCTGGGAATGCTCAGGGATGCTGTTCCTAAGGCAGAATTGAGCCCAGTTACCAAGGTACCCTGAGACTTCCTGGTGGGCAGGCTCCCGGCTCCTTTTCCTTCCCATTACCTGGAATCCAGAGCAATGAACTATTGTGCTGAAAGTGGCTATTTCAGGCAGCATTGTTTCAGCTCAGCCAAAATTCACAGCCTGGTTCCAGAATCGCCCAATTGGATTACTGGGAAGTTTGTGTGAGCCTTTTGTCTCCAGCTGTTTCAGTTTTCCTGCTGGGAATTTCTACTGGTTTGTCACCTCCTTAGTTTGAGGTCACAGTCCTGAGGTTTCAGAGCTATGCTAATTTTTTCACCACAGTGTCAAGAAAACTGCTGTTGTACTGATGTGTTTAAAGCTACTTCAAACCAGTTCCCACAGAGCTTTTGCCCTGCTAGTGTCTTGACAACTGAATGAGCAAGTTTTCCTCCAAATGTTGTGCTGGAAACCAGGGAACCTTGATTTCAATAACTGTGGCTTCATATGAACACTGAAAGTTTTTCTTCAAGCAGCAGAAATTAGTTTAGCCAGCACTGTTAAAATACTTTTTTTAATGCAGCCTTTAGATAATTCATATAACCCAATGTGTCCTGTATGCTATTTAAAGTGTGTTTATTGTCAGTGAAGAAGTAGGAATGGAGATGAACCACTGAACTTTTTTGTATCAGATTGAGTTCACATAAGTCAGTTTGATTTAAAAAAATAAATCAAATGTTTTGAAATGAATTTTTTTTAGTCAAAACTGTCTTACAGTTTGAGTTACTATATGAAAAAAAAAGTTGGTAAAAAAGTTGGTTATAAAAATATCTTACTTTAAACCTCTCTTGGAGAACATGAGGTATTCTGGTGGGTTGGTTGATTTGTGGCTTTCAAGGAGGATTATTTTAAAGCTAACTTGAGGTTATTTGTATTAGAATTTTGTAGGTGTGAATTTTATCCACTCAAATGCACTTTCTCCCTTTCTTTTCTCCTATGGACACTACTGATTCTCAGCCAGTGTCTGAAAGTTTCCAGCATCTATACGTTACTGGGATGATTTGAAGTGCTTACCTTTCTTGTCTTGATATAAATGTAGCTTGCCTTGAGAGCTGGTAATGAAAAAGAAGAAGGAGAGACAGCTGACACCGTGGGCTGCTGCTCTCTGAGGGTAGAACACATCAAGCTGCATCCTGAACTGGATGGCCAGGAGTACGTGGTTGAGTTTGACTTCCTGGGGAAGGACTCCATCCGATACTACAACAAAGTCCCCGTGGAGAAGAGGGTAAGGGCTCTGCTCACACCTCCACAGCCTGAGCTGCACAAAGAGCTGGCCAGTGCCATGTGGGTGCCAGGAGCAGGGGGCCAGAAAATAAGTCAGTGAATGTTCTTCCCTTTTTATTGGCAGTGCCATGGAAGGTAAGCCTGCCGGTGGTGTGAGCCAGCAGATCAGATGTTTAAACATCTTGCTGCTCTTGCCTGTGGTCTCAGTGTCAAGACTTGGCATAACGTTACTAACAGCTGTCTTGGCTGAGATTCTTGGGTCACATTCTGCTCAGCAGAGTTGTTTTATCACCTGGAGGGGTCGGGTTCTAGGCCTGTGTGACAAGTTAGAGCAGGAAAGGTTCTGAAGTGCAGTGGTGGACAGCACTGTTAGAGTAGCAGTTCAGTTCAGTTCAGCTTCTCTGTCACTGTGGGCTCATTCATGTTGGAGCTGAGCCCTCACTGAGGTAGGTCTTGGATCCTGGGTGCTCCAGACCATACAGAGTAGGTGCACTGACACTTCTGGCCTACGAGTCTGGGTATCTGCCATCCAAGTCTTCTTCCTTAGGCAATGTTAATCCCTTTATTTCTTTGTCATTCACTAATTTCAAATCTGCTGTGATCTCATCCTCCTTCCAGAATAAATCCCCATCCAGCAGTGTGACTCTGGAGGGCACTATCCATAAAGACTTTTGGTTTTGTGGGTGTAACACTTTGGCCCACAGCTCAGCACAGTGTTAGATAGCACATATATAATAGTGTGGTAATTGTGATGGCAATCAGTAAATGTTGGCTTCTTGGAGGGCAAAACAACTGAAAAATAAAAACAGAAATGAGTGTGTGGTGGAATTGTTACTTCCTTGTTGAAAGAAGACATTTTTCCTGTTTAAGTTTATTGAGGTTATCTTTTGGTGTCTCTTCAGTGCTTACAGTGGGGAATTGATTATTGAGGAACTAGATATCTTTGTATATTAGGTGTCTACAAGAGTGTGTGTTGCTGGGAACTGGGGATTTGAAGCACGTAGAGCTGGGATTTGTGGTCTCTGTATAATCAAAGATGCTTTGATTCTTCTCCCTACCCCAGTGAGACTTGATTGGGGTGGAACTGTATGAAACACTTAATGCAGCAAGGAGGATTGGTTTGGGTAGCTTCACTCTGTGCAGAAGGGCTCAGGGGCCTCTTTGGCTGGAGTGGTGATGGAGACTAAGGGAAAAGTGGCAGCTGTGGGGTTTCTGGCAGTGAAACTGCCACTGTTGCTGCTTTGTGTGTTGCTGCTACCCAGTGCTCTCTGCTCTGTGGGCCTGAAGTTACCATTTTCCTTTCCCTGCAGGTCTTTAAGAATCTCCAGCTGTTCATGGAGAACAAGCAGCCTGAGGATGACCTCTTTGACCGCCTCAATGTAAGCACAGAGTCAGTGGTGAGGGATGAAGAGCACTGTGAATGCATAGCTGCTCTGGTTCTGAAACAGTGTCAGGGGCAATTTTCTTCCAGAGCTGGCCTGAGCAGCCATAAAACAGTGGGAGTCTGTCTCAGTGTGGTGTCTGTGTTGTCCATTGTGCCCACAGGTTCCTCAAGTGATGGGCTTTGGACCTGGTGAGCCTCCTGGCTCTGCCTTGGGGATGTTTTTTCAGAGCTGATGATTGTGGGAGGTGACAGATTTTCAGATGCCATCCCCATCTGCACGTGTGGCTCTGTGGGAGCACTGTGGTGGTTCAGGCACCTTCCCTGGGATGGGACAGGCACCCTTCTGCCTGTTGGGAAACAAAGCCCCCACACTGGAGAAAACCTTTTTGGCCACTTGTGGTACTTCATGCCAATCTGATACTTCCTGATTCTTTGTTCACTTTTCCTGTGGTTTCAGTAATGTGGCCATTGGGTTGTGGTCAGGTCTGAGCACCCTGAGTCTCAGTCCTGAGCTATGTCTTTGTCAGCTGTGTGTCCAGAGATTTCACAAATGCTGTGGTCAAGTCTAGTGCTAACTGTCACCTCCTTTCTGCTCCCTTAGACCAGTATCTTAAATAAACACCTTCAAGACCTTATGGAGGGACTGACAGCCAAGGTATTCCGTACTTACAACGCCTCCATCACGCTACAGCAGCAGCTCAAGGAGCTCACTAATCGTAAGTCTTGGCCTTGAAACTGTGAGGGGAGCAGATCTAGCCCTGCAGCCCACACCTGGCTCCCTTGGCTTCACCACAGCCCCTACATCTGTCCACCACTTCCTCCTTGCAGATCTCCCACTGCAAATGTCACACAGCCGAGGTCTGACCAAAAAATCTGCTGCCAGGCAGATCTCTTGGGGCAGCTGAGCAGCACAGCACCAAGGCAAGGCAGAGCTGGCTTGTGTGCCCACCAAGGTGTGCCTGCTGGTTTCTACCTGTCCTTTACCAGATCTCTTCCTTGCTTTCTGTTAAAGTGCTGTAGGCAGATGGGTCTGTAAGAGCCCCACGTTTCTCAGCTGCTCATTCACCACCTCTGTCAAGCACCACTTTAAACATGTCACACCTTGTGGGCACCTTGGCTCTGGGAAGCCCAGCAGTGTCCTGAGCAGCATGGTCCTGCTCTCCTCTGAGAGAGAGGTGCCATAAAGATGTTCTGGCAATTTGTGGGTGCCAGAAGGAGTAAGGGTAAGGGTGGCAGTGGTCAGGCTCTTGGGACCATGGGTGGAGCCCAGCGTGGAGCCTGGCCCGTCAGAGGGGAGGGTCACTTCTGCAGCAGCCAGGAGCTCGCAGGGTCAGGTCGGGGGGACACTGGCTGGGGTTGTGCAGCCCTGGAGAACCCACTTGCTCAGCACTTCCTTCTGCTTTCCAGCGGATGACAACATCCCAGCAAAGATCCTCTCCTATAACCGTGCCAACAGGGCGGTTGCCATTTTGTGTAACCACCAGAGGGCTCCGCCGAAGACCTTCGAGAAGGCCATGATGAACCTGCAGAGCAAGGTACCCCCACCCTCACCCAGCTCTGGCACCAGGGGCTGCACCTCGGGGGTCACCTTTCCTTTCACCTGAGGTGAAAGGGAAGCAGAGCCTGCTTTTCCCTGGCAGGAGCTGGGTAGTGCTGCATCCCCTGCTTGGGGAGGAGTGGCGAGCTGGAAGGGACACCTTTCAGTCAGAGTCGTCTTTTCCTTGTAAAGACCAAGACCAGACCCTTTCTATCCACCTTTGACCCCATATCTATGTGATCTGCTGCCGTGGAACTTCAGAGCAGCAGGCTCTAGCTCTGATTGGAGTCCCCTAAAGAGCCCAAAGTGGACATCCACTCCCATTGTGCAAATCCCAGACCACTGTCAGTGCAGGCTGTGTACGTGGCACGTTACACCCCTCTGACTTGACCTCTTCCTTTGCAGATTGTTTCTGGTGAAGGCCATGAGGTCCAAAAGGGGTTAGGTCTGTTCCTGGTCTGGCTTTAGAATAACCTTCACAATAAGGACTTCTGGTTTGGCCCTGCAGTGTCCCTGCTTCTGTAACACCTAACATGGCTGCCTTCACCCCGGACCTTAGAGCTTGGGGGGGTGTTCAAGGGGATGGTTGAACAGGAGCTGCAAAATGCTACATCGCCCTGAATCCCAAACATGCTGGAGAGGAACTGCCTGAAGCCTTCACAGCCTTCAGCCTGTAGGATTTGGGGCAGGAACTGATTCATGCTGAGGGAATGGGATCATCCTTCCCTGCTCCCATCAGGGAGCTGGTGCTGGCAGGATGCAGTGGAGGCAGACGAGCTGCCCGGAGGGGCTGCTGGCCAGTCCCAGCCCAAGCCAATTCCTTCACCTCCTTGGTTGTAGCTGTGTGAGGCAGCTCCCAGTGCCACCTTGTCTTTGGAAATGCGTGGGGCCCTGTTTTCCCAGGGGAGTATTTCACCACGTGAGGGTCTGCAGCAAACTGAAGGGCCGGCGGCCTGATAGTTCTGCAGACGTGGCTCTGACCTCTGGTAGGTCCTGAACGTGGTCACAAACTGGCTCCTTGGGTCGTGCTGCCCAGGGGTGACTGCCACGGTCATCAGCAGCTCGTTGACAGTGCTGCCATCTGGTTTTGCCTCTCCTAGATTGATGCCAAGAAGGAGCAGTTAGCTGATGCCAGGAGGGAACTGAAAAGCGCCAAAGCTGATGCCAAGGTCCGGAGGGACGAGAAGTCTAAAAAGTAAGGCTGGTGTCACTAGGCTGTGCAATGCTCCCAGCACCCTCAGCTCCTCATGGGGCCTCCACCCTGTGCTGCTTCCCCAGCCTGAGCTCTGTGAGGGCTCCCTCAGGCTCTCTCGTCCCCTCTTTATTCTGTGCATGAAGAAATGCCCTTGAAGTGGAGGGCTGTAGGGTGGCCTGGCAGTGCAGCTCCTGAGGTGGTCACTAGGTAGTGGCTGCTGAGTCTCCCAGCCCTCCAGCTTGGACCTTAACGGGGAGCCAGGAGCTGGAGCTGCACACTGGGCTCTGCTCTGCTCCAAGCTTTGCAGAACAGCCCCAGGAGTGCTGAGTTAGGGGGGGGCTCTGAGAGCAGAACGGCAGCAGGGCTGTGACAGGGGGGTAGTCGGGCTGCTCTGAACGTGGGTGTAGCATCCCTGCAGCTCGGGCTGTCGCTTCCAACCCTTTAAAACAAAACTGCTGCTTAAGGTTCCTGCTCTGCCTCTCTGAAGGTGTCGAGTCGTTAATCGCATGTGCCGAGTGTTGTCACCGCCCGCGCTGCCACAGCT